TCAAGCTGCTGTACAGTGTCATTTTAAGATAACAGTGACTCAACTCCCCTTTCCTTACAACATAATTGAAGAAAAAAAAAAAGCTTCAAGCATTGGCCCTGGGTCCTGCACTCAGATGAGGCTTCAGTGTTCTGCCCAATCTCATGGAAGGTCATTCTGGTGCTGAAGCTGCACACACATGAAGATGCTGAGCTACCACTAGAAGGGAGCATACAGACAAGACCCATCTTCTTGGCAGCCTAGAAGAAAGAAGGAAGGTGCGACACTGTGCATCATTTTAAGTGCTTTGCGTCCGCTCTCAATGTCCCGCACATTAACTCAATAATCCTGACAACCACTCCAATGCATTAGGTAGTATTAGCAAAATGGTTAGGAGAAAACATTTTGCCCGCCTTCCAATATTGACTTCACAACTCACTAGCCGGGTGTCCTTAGCTAGTTACTTATTCTCTCTGAATCAATGAGACTTATCTGAAAACTCAGGATAATGTTAATGCCTACCTCCTGGGGTTATTGTGAGGCTTGTGTATCAAATATTCTTAGCATAATTCCTGCCACAAAGTAAGCACTGATTAAATAATGTTGTTGTATAGGCAATAGTAATTATCTTGCATAAGATCAAATACCAGTAAGAAGGTAGAAATCCTGGTCTACTGACTCTAAATTTCAGGCTCTTTCTGTGACCATGTGTTACTCCACTGAATGTTTATTGTTTCCTTAAATGATTCAAATACCACAGTACGGTTTGTGCTGTTCTAGGAACACTGAAGTGTTCTTGCTAATTATACAGAACTGCAAAGGCGGGAGAATCACTTTTAGCGACCACTATTAGCAGAATATAATGCTATTTCACTTTGCACTGGCTTGAGAAGAAGACCCCACATAACAGACCATTTCGGAGATTCCCAAGGGCTATACTTTCCAGGAGTTATATTTCTTTGATATCAAAACCATTGTCACACCCGCCAGCAGAAAGGGCTGTCAATTTCACTAGAGTCTACATGATATTCTCTCTTCTGTGCTAAGTGGTGACAGCAACTGTTTATCTCCCTTTCCAAGTTGTTTTCTAATATTTTGTTTCAAATTCCTCCAAACAAAACAACTTACAGCTGCAAGTCACGCTAGCTTTCTGGTTCACTGCCTGCTTGGGCACAAATAACCGGTACACTGGCTCCCACTAGGCCTGGCACAGTTCCAGGCTCTTTGGGTACTGAACCTCTTGGAGTCCATAAAGTTAATTTTCCAGACAAACTTGATTTAACCTGGTATGAACTTCAGATGATGTAGCTTTGGGAAAATTCACACTGACTTTCTCACTTCATTTCAAAATATTTTTTTAATTGTCAAAAAGAAACATTCATGAACATAGACCATATTCTTTCTGGGTCATAAAACAAAATAAAACATTCCGAAGAATTTAAGTAATGTAAAGTGAGTTCTCTGAAAATAATGGAATTAAACTAGAAATCAATAACAGAAAGATATCTTTAAAAATTCCCAAATAGTTGGAAATTAACACACTACAAAAATAACCCATGAGTCAAAAAGGAGGTCACAAGGAAAATATTTTTGGGCCGGATGCGGTGGCTCACGCCTGTAATTCCAGTACTTTGGGAGGCCAAAGCGGGGGGTCATTTGAGGTCAGGAGTTGGAAACCAGCCTGGCCAACATGATGAAACCCTGTCTGTACTAAAAATATAAAAATTGACTGGGCGTGGTGGTGTGTGCCTGTAGTCTCAGCTACTTGGGAAGCTGAGGCAGGAGAATCGCTTAAGGTGGGAGGCGGAGGTTGCAGTGAGCCGAGACTGCACCATTGCACTCCAGCCTGGGTGACAGAGTGAGACTCCATCTCAAAAAAAAAAGGAAGAAGAAAATATTTTGAACTGACTGAAAATGACAATACAACATATCAAGATTTTTGTTATGTATTTGAAGTGGTGCTTACAAGGAAAATTATGGCATTAAAGGCTTATATTAGAAGGCCAGCTTTGGTGGTTCATGCTTGTAATCCCAGAACTTTGGGAGGCTGAGACAGGCGGATTATCTGAGCTGAGGAGTTGGAGACCAGCCTAGGCAATATGGTGAAACCCTGTCTCTACAAATCGTACAAAAATTAGCCAGGCATTGTGGCACACCTACTTCGGAGGCTGAGGCAAGAGGATTGGCTGAGCCTGGGAGACAGAGGTTGCATGAGCCTAGATCTCACCACTGAACTCCAGCCTGGGTGACCAAGCAAGACTGTCTCAAAAAAAAAAAAAAAAAGAAAGAAAGAAAGAAAGAAAAAGCTATGTTAGAAAAGAAAATAGGTCAGGCATGGTGGCTCATGCCTGTAATCTCAGCACTCTGGGAGGCCGAGACAGGAAGATCACTCGAGGCAAGAGTGTGAGACCAGCCTGGGCAACATAGAGATACCCCCATTTCTACAAAAAAGTAAAAAAAAAATTAGCTGAGTAGGGTAGTGTGAACCTGTAGTTCTAGCTACAGGAGAGCCTGAACCCAGGAGTTTAAGGTTGCTGTGATCAGGCCACTGCA